AACTTACCAAATGGAAAACACACTTGTGCTAGCCATGTGGGACAGATTAATCTGGGACCTAATCTTGTGTTGGACAATGTGCTATATGTTCCATCTTTTTCTTTCAACTTGATTTCTGTTTCAAAACTAACTTCCACTAACAACTGCATTGTCGATTTTGTTTCCTCTTCTTTCATTATACAGGACCTACAAACCAAACAAATGATTGGTTTTGCTAGGCTCTATAATGGCTTATATCATTTGAACTTTCCTGTTTTTGAGAATCACAATGTGAGTTCTCAAATGTATCTTCTTTTTCTGTATTGTCTGATTCTGAGTTGTGGCACAATAGACTTGGACATATCTCATATCATAAACTGTATCAAATGTCCATATGTTCACCAGCATCTTGTAAATCTGCTATGCATAATGCTTGTGATGTCTGTCATTTCAGTAGACAGAAAATTTTACCTTATAGTATCTGTACTAGTATTGTTGCATCTTGTTTTGATTTAATCCATTGTCACATATTGGGACCATTTTCTACACCTTCTCATTCTGGTCATAAGTATTTTTTTAACTATTCTTGATGATCATAGCAGAACTGCATGGATCTATCCTTTGGCTTTCAAATATGATACAAAAAGATACTTGCTTTATTTTTATAACCTTGTATGTACTCAGTTTCATAAGAAAATCAAAATTATTAGGGCAGACAATGATACAGAATTTTTTCTAAGTGATTTCTACACTGACCATGGCATAATACAACAAACTAGTTGTGTAGAGACCCTTCAACAAAATGGAAGGGTAGAAAGGAAACATCAACATTTGCTAGAAGTAGCTAGAGCTTTAATGTGTCATGCCAATTTACCCTTACAATTTTGGATAGACTGTGTATGTGTTGCTGCTCATATTATCAACAGAATTCCTTCAACTGTTTTGAAAACATCTCCATACTCTGTTTTATATAAATCTGATCCCTCATTAGATCGTTTGAAAGTCATTGGTTGTCTCTGTTATGCATCCACTTTGCATTCAAATAGGTCTAAGTTTGATTCTAGGGCATCCAAATGGATTCTACTTGGTTATCCACTCGGTTGTAAAGGTTATAAACTTTACAATTTGGATACCAAGAAAATCATAATCTCCAGAAATGTTTCTTTCTATGAACATGTGTTTCCTTTTAAAACTCAGTCTCTCCTTCCTCAACATTCAGAACTCCTTTTTCCTATCCCTGATGTCAATGACATTACTCTTAATACTCCATCTATTCTCCCACAACAGCAAACACAACCATCAGCTACTGTGATTTCCCCACCATCTCTACATACAACACCATTATCTTCACCTCTCCAACCATCTTCACCAATCCCAACTACCTCTGATCAAACAATTCCAAATGATACGCACTCTTCTCCTATACAACAACCCACTAATATCAGAAGATCTACTAGAACCAGACAGCCACCTGCTTATCTTAGCATTTACAATCATTTTATACCTCACTCTTCAATTCTGGCATCACATGATGAAACATCTGGAACATTATATCCTATAAGTGATTTTTTTATCTACACAATCTTTATCTGATTCTCATCATTGTTTTACATCATCCATCACTCAAAATGTTGATCCTAAGACCTATAAACATGCAGTGTCAATCCTTTATGGCAAGAAGCCATGCAAAAAGAAATTCATGCCTTAGAACAAACTAAGACATGGGAATTAACTTTTTTGCCACCAAATCAACACTGCATAGGCTGTAAATGGGTATACAAAATAAAATATAGGTCTGATGGCTCAATAGAAGTATATAAAGCTAGATTAGTAGCCAAAGGCTACACGCAAGAGGAGGGCATTGATTATTTTGACACATTCTCTCCAATAGCTAAAATCACCACTGTTAGGTCTTAATTGCAATTCGAAACCACTTTCCTATGGTCGAAGCCTTGGCTATTGCATTTGCTAAACAGTGGCTCATTCATCAACTTTATGTCAATAATGCATTCCTTCATCAACTTCATGTCAATAATTGCAATAATGCATTCACAAGAGGAGCACTTTTAGTTTGTTGTATAGGTATAAATACCCATATTAGGGTTTCTGTAACTTTACTTTTCCTTTTTTCCTCTTTTCATTCTCTCTATCGTCTGTTCATCTCTCTCTCTCTCTCTCTCTCTCTCTCAGAAGTATCTTGTTTATCCTTGTAAACTTTCCTCAATTCTATGTTGAATGTATAGTTTTTAGTTCAATCATAGTCTTAATATAATCCCTTAATCTGATTTCTCTATATGTTCAGGCGCTGGGATGGACAGAATTGTGCGCAGGCCGAGCGGCAGCTGACATGGCCACTGCTAGCAATGGAGATAGAATTGTTGAGATAGACGGAATTGCGGAGATAGACCGTATCGCTGACATGGCCACTGCTGGCCAGTTGGACGCGACTGCTGTCGGAGGTGACAAATGATGTTGCGAGCGTTTTTGCTTGCGCGTAGAGGGTCTTTGATGGACTGAACGAGCTACTACATGTGGACTGAACGGGAGAAATTTTTTCAACGAAAGAGCAGGCTTGCAACAACGTTTTATTCGGCCCAACGAGATTTTTTTCTGTGTGTCCAACGAATTTTAGCGTCATTCTCTCCAGCGAACTTCAGAAATGTTCGGTCCGACAAGTTTAACGGAGCAGTAGGCTTGCAGTCGGGCAGTGTGTGCTCAATGGACCACAACAAGGTCCCCCCGACGCCCGCGTTGGAGGCTCTCGGAGCTCCGACGAGTGGCCGGGTGACGGTGGCTGGAGGCTGGACTGAGGATTGAAGGAATCGCCCAGTTGAAGGTCGTCGAGCTGAAGGTCGCCAGAAAAAACGGGGTTGCTGGAAAACGGGGTCAACGGCCGGCAGGACGACGGTCAACGCCGATAAACATAATTATATTTTTTATTATATATTTAAATTAAGTATAACAATTAATATTTTTTATTATTTAATTAATGTATATTTCAATTGATTAATGTGAGTAATTGATCTACACAAAAATGAACGGCTAATATTGAGTCTCACCTACTCATTTTATGGAGTGTCCTCATTTGATCCACCCTTATAGTGAGCAACGGTGCGGTTCGGTGAAAAACCGCACCAAACCGCAGAAAATCGAAAACCGAACATAGCAAAAAAAGTAAGCGAAGCGCACCACAACTTAGAAAAAACTGAACCGAAAACGAACTGATTTTTTTTGCACTAAAATAACCGAACCGAACCGCATTGAAATGCAGGGTTCGATTCGGTTTTGATTTTTTTTCCTCTGTTTCCTATACATTTTATTTAATTTGGTGTGGTTCGATGCAAATCCGCACCAAACCGAAAAAAATCGAAAACCGAACTTATGGAAAATAATAACCGCACCGCAATATAAAGAAAAACCGAAGCAAAACCGAACCGAAATTTTACATAAAAAAATCGAACCGAACTGTAACGAATTGCTCAGTTTTGGCTCGGTTCTGCTCACTCCTGCTTATACATATACACACATAGCTTTGTTAAATACTTGTAAAAACACCACACTCGTGCTTGCTTCTAAACAATAACAGCGATGATTGTCACCTTCTATTAATGAGAAGCGGCCCACCTCGTGTACAAACTCTGTCCACCTTTTATTCATTGAGAAGCCGCCCACCTTGTACATCATGGACAAAGTCTCCCAAGTGTGTGGAACGTTGAGAATACTCAATTATTATGGTTTCAATCAATTTCATAAATCTTATATTTTCAGCATTATATTGTTGTCCAATGGGATTGTTCACTTGTCTACCGTATATATATTAAGATGTGTCTATATATCAACATTTTATGATCTTTTAAACATATAGTACCGTAATTTCATGTCACATCAGTTAATGAACATAATAACTCGTATTCATAGTTGCTAAGAGAACGAGACTGTGATTTCTAACATATTCATTAAATCACATCACAAAGTAGTTTTTTTTTTATTTTTTTTTTTTTTTATTTATTTATTTATTTATTTTTTTCTGGATGCATAGTATTAATTCATCATCTTGTAGTATAATATATCATCTTAAAAACCGATCATTGGTGATTTTGCTCTTAGCCAAAAGGAGTTCGCAGCATAAAATATATCTACGCTCAAGTCAGCTCACACGCCAAAAATGACTTTCTTGGTGACTATGTACAAGAAACGTACGATCTAACAGTATTGCACTTATACGACATGAATACTATCCGACTAATATAGTTTAACTACACATTATACTATCGAGTCATATATACGACTGAACCATACTCTGTGTAGCATCAACATTATACGACCGCACCGTATTATCACCAAATGAGGTATATATATAAAAAGTTATATTTTTTTTTATTTTTTTTTGTACAGGAAAGGAAGCGATACTACCGCTTTATATTTTTTCAATGTGGGGGGGTGGGAGAGGTGGTGGAAATAGTCATTTTGACAAATTTATAATGAATAATGCTAATTGTACCAATTTGTCAAGATAAATAGTACCGTGTGCATGTTCTTCTTATTAATACCTTTATTTTTTTGGTACAAAGGTTATTAATACCTTTATTTAATCTCAACTGATACCATCCTAGCTAGAAAACGTAATTTCTAACCTTTCGAAAGTAGCTTTGTATTTGATCTCAACTTCTTCCTTTTTTTTTTCCTTACAAGAAAACAATAATCCCACAATTTTTTAATCACCACATTTCACATTTATTATTATTATTATTATTATTATTATTATTATTATTATTATTATTATTATTATTATTATTATTATTATTATTATTATTATTATTATTATTATTATATGCCGCAATTTTAATGACCCAATGTCACTATAAGTTGTGTCACCAAGACACGAAAAGCACCAAACCTACCAGTCCCCTCCTCCCTCGAGACCACTTATACACACACACCTAACTCAGAAAGATCTATCGATCCTCGTATATATAAAGCCTTCGATCGCTTATTACAAACAGTGGCACGGGTGCTCGAATATGGGACGAGCACCTTGTTGCGAGAAAACGGGCCTAAATCGAGGCAAATGGACCGAGGAAGAAGACGAAAAGTTGATCAACTACATCAAGACAAACGGAGAAGGTTCGTGGAGATCGCTACCCAAGAATGCCGGTACGTATAAGGCCGTTGTATATAACTCAGAAAGACATACATCTTTAGGATATTTTTTTAAGTTGTAATGAGAGTTTGTAAGCTATAAGATATAAGATGTTTATAATTACAAGAAAATGAGAGATAAAATAATATTGTTGAACTAAGATTTTTTTTTTTTTTTTTTGGTTTGTGTGTGTGTGTTTGTGTATGTGTTTTTAAGGATTGTTGAGGTGTGGGAAGAGTTGTAGACTAAGGTGGATTAACTACTTGAGAGCAGATTTGAAGAGAGGGAACTTCACCACAGAAGAGGAGGAGACCATTGTCAAGTTGCACAAAAGCTTGGGAAATAGGTAAAATAATTTTAGTTTTATTATTATTATTATTATTATTATTATTATTATTATTATTATTATTATTATTATTATTATTATTATTGTTATTATTATTACTATTATTATGGGAAATGCTATGGTCCCGTAACGGTACCATCCCGTCAAATGTTTACCGTTGAATTCACATGTAGTTAGTATAAGATAAATGATCCAACGGTTAAAACTTTCGACGGAATGACACCGTAACGAAACTGTAGCATTTCCCATTATTATTATTATTATTATTATTATTATTATTATTATTATTATTATTATTATTATTATTATTATTATTATTATTATTATTATTATTATTATTATTTTCTTTATCATCGCCAACGGCGTAGCCAGGTAGGGGCTTGCCTGGGCTTCAGCCTAGGTTCAATTTTTTCCCTATGTTAATTAGTATATAAATTATGTTTAAGAATAAAACATTATTTTTTGTTAAATTAATTCAGCATATATGAAATTTATTTTAATTTGTATGTGTATGTATATTTTAATTTAACCTCAATATATATATTTGGTGATGACTAATTATTTGAAAAAAAAATCTCTAACAAAAATTAAGGTAATATCATTTTTGTTTATTGATAACACTAATTTTAATCTAATTAATTGTTTATCAACTAACATAACTTGTTAGACATTTTATTTTAAAGAACATGTATTATTGATGAAAATGTGATAATCATTCATAATTAAAATATGTTTCACTATAAAATCTCAAGTCCCCATGACATTAAAATATTTATTGTAATTATAATCTTAAGTTTCGATACTTAATATATAGGTCTGAACTAGGTTGAAGGCCTAATTAATAGTGCATATTACATTATTTCCAATAAATTTATATATTTTCGTAGTTGCATTTAAATATAAAAATAGTAAAATATGATATTTCATATTAAAATATGTTTTTTAAATTTTAAAAGTATGATAAATCGGTCTATCTAACTGTCATCCCATTTTTTTTTTCAAGAACAACACCCCAAAAGGGTGTGAGCTCAAGGCCGGACCCCCTAATCTGTATGTAAAAATGCTCTAAATGGGATGAATAATCACAAGTCTCTACAAGTCCAATGTCCAAGGTACAACTATCCAAACAAAGGAAAACAACCAAGAAAAAAGAGACAACACCAACAACAAATAACACAATTAATTGTCATTCCACATTTCAAACAATACAATTGTATTCGGATTAGCCCAATGTGAATTTTTTTCCCTGGCTATTCATCACATGCTATATTTGTAAAGAAATTGTTGGACTTTGTTTTCGAGCCCTACTGCTGATGTGTCATTCAGTTGTTGGATTACGTGGACCAATTAATAGTATGTGCAAAACAACATTTAATTTTCTTCAATGTGTGTGTTCTTTTTTTCTTAAAGGAGAAAATTTTTGATCATTGTCCTTGTTACCATTCATGGCACAAGGGATGGAGCAAGAGGAGGCCCCGGGGGGGCCACTGTTTTTCCTTTATTTTTTTATGATTTTTTTCAATACAATACCCGAAAGATATGTAAATTATCAAATGGAAGCCTGAAAGAAGTTTTTCTTAATTCGGGACTTAAATGTTATAAGACTATCAAATTAAGTCCTAGAACTAACAAAATCCATAACACCATTAAATTGAGAAATTAAGAAAAAAAAAAAAAGATTGGTGCTTACTCACATAAAATAATAAGTAAACATTTGCATAATATTTAAAA